AAAATAGAACCGCTGGCTGTGCAATGGGAGTTGTGCGTAAAACCAATCTTCAGCAATTAGACTAATACATATAACTGGTTTGGGCACCTCGACGTGATGTAATGGTTAGCAAGCTTGTCAATTACTACTGTGTAGCGAGTTCGATCCTCACCGGATACCCTTAGCTAAGCTACGCTTGGAAAATCACGATACATCTAACTGGTTACGAATGAAGAGATTCGACGAAAATGCTACATAATGGGGATTTTCGTATACATTTTTAAGTTTCAGAATATAATGACCATGATTAAGGGAAGTGACACGAAAACTTTTGAGCCGTAACCCAAAACACAAAACACAACTTTTTTTTTAATTATTGGTGGCTCAGGTTAGAAACATAATTTCAGTTTCTTCATTGAAATTTACTAAGTTTTATTTTAATAATTAACGAACTGTAAACTGAAAAGATTTGGTGAAGAGAGAGATACGCCAGTAACCATTGCTGTACCAAACCCAAACCGGCACAGGAAATGGTGAGCAAGTTAGTTACTCAAGTCATTACAAATGAGCCATGATACTTGCTGACTGTTCCAGATCTGTGACAGTGGGACAAAACTAAGCTGCTTCTTTATAATGACACGAGGCTTACGGCCATATTCCGTTGAAACCCCGGTTATCGTAAGATCACCGAAGTTAAGCAAAGTCAGGCCTTGTAAGTACTTAGATTGGCGACATGGATGTGTGGGTGGTGTACTGGATAATGGCTTAAAATTATTAATCAGAAAGCCAAGTTCCAATTTCAGTTGGGTTCGTGATATTCACCTACGCGCAAAAACCTTTGAGAAATATATGAATCCGCTTCCTCTCCCCCCGCTATAGGTTAATTAGTAAGACTTGTATCACTGAATACTTATCTCACAAAATGAAATTTCTAATAATCTAAAAAAAAAAAAAAAAAACATTTTGTGGTTTTAAATAACCCGCAAAGGGTTGACAAGCCATAAAAAATAAATCAATCAATATAATTCACAGATCCGTTTTGCTATGTATTCTTTGTAAACATAGTAGAGTGGGTTCTTGTTGCTTTCTCCAAAATTGTGAATTCATTTTCCTTCTCTTAGATTGGTTACCAACCAAAGCTGGAGAGTCCAAACAATTCCAATATTTAACTAAAGCTGAGGTTGCACGAAATTGAACGCAATTGGGATTTGAACTCGGTTAGTAAATTCCACTTTCCATGTAACTAATCAAAAGTTTCACTTAGTCAACAAAAATCCGTATATAAGCAGTGTCATAATTGGTAAGAAGGGCATATATATTTTTTGGAGTTCGACCTTTAATCGAAGTGTCATAAATGTCATGTGACATAAGCAAAGCTTAGCAAATAATTGCAAAAGACTGGACAACCAGAACTAATTTGAATACATAAAAAGGCTAACATTCTATTGTAAATAACACAAGTCTATTTCGAATTTAGTAGTTTTTCTAGGATTGTAGTTACCTTATATTTTATAATCAATCCATTTCTGCTTTACCGTCCATTTTATGTGGGGCGAAGTCAGACCCCAGAAGACAGAAGAAACTGAGCAAGACGACCACACCCGACACAAATCCCAAGAGTGGGTCATCTAAATATTGCCCAGGTTCTGCCATCTTTTACCGCAGCCATCAAGATATACCCCTATTGGTAAAAAAATATTGCCCATAGTTGAAGAGAAACAGAATATAGATATAATGGTCGATATTCTGAGCTGAAGACAACAAAGGTAATGATACTCGTTTGAAAAAATGGGCGAGTACTATTTTAAGCTGTCGGGTAATTTTGCAGTTCGTGTACTTTCCAACTTCCACTTTTAAAGCAATGGCTGTCATGGTACTTTAGTTGAAGGTCAGCTTCAAGCATTGAAAACAGAACAAAAAAGAACTCTTAGACCGGTTCGATTGACACCCACGAAAAGAGTCAACAATACAACGTTGAAAATAAAAGTGAGAAAATATTTATAAGGGCGTTTTTTTTTTCAAACTACACAATTTGGTAAACTATACAAAATAAATAAAAGAAACCTACACTGACGAATAGTGGAAAAAAAACTTTTTTTGCCTCTTATTTCCTTTTTCACAATTACAGAGACAGTCAGTCTTCGGTGGCGAGTGGGTGGATGTGCGGGTGGTGTAATGGATAGAGGATCGGAATGAGAAATGAGAAAGCCAAGTTCGAATTCTAGTAGGGTTCGTTACATCACCGTGTAAACGCTCTTTGGAATGTTATGAATGCAATGTATCGCCTCCTCAAGCTATAGGTTAAATAGTAGAACTTATCTGAAAAAATTATTGCCATTTTCAACAAACAAAAAAATTGTTAATGCATTATTCACTCGCAAAAAAAAGAGTATCATTCTTTGAATCCAAAATACGTTTCATCTTTAACTCTCAAAGACTTGATAAGCTGTATAAAAAAAAACAAAAAAAACATATCCGTCGGTAATTAGTGAAAGGTTCATTCGACTGAAACAGCAGATAATGAAAATATATTAGTGCATTTTCGCATCATCTTCACTTCAGAACGTTATCAATGAACGGGACGATACCATTTTAATTATGTAAGTATAAATATAGCGACATAAAATAAAAATCTAACACCCTGAAGTCAGTGTCATGCGTGATACACGCTTAGGCGATCATGCATCTTTCTGTATAATGGGCAGAGTTTTTTTCCCCGCAGTATGTTACCATTTCTTTCTGCGGTAGACCAGTTACCATCCAAGGCTATAGAACCCTGGGGGGCGGAGAAGAAGAGGATTCATACCTTTCCCAAAGGTATTAGCACGTAAGTGAATGTAATGGATTCAACTGGAATTCGAACTCGGCTCTCCGATTCTTTAATCCATTACTTCACACCCTGGAGATGAAATTTGACTTTGTACACCAAATGCATGTTTCTGAGTAGAAGATATTCCAATAAAAACTTCAAAGTTTTTTGATACCAGTGCACTGCCTGTGTCTGGGCTTTTGACATTGACACAAGCTGCGATAAATCTGATGAAAGACTCCACTCCCAGCAACTGTTACGCTATTGGACATGCATATGCTTCTTTCAGAGACCTCTATAGACTGTTCATGCGAATCATTTCAGATATTGCTTGCGAGACGTCTGTGCTGCTTGGCAAAAATGGGAAAGTGAATGTTCTTATACTAATAGACCAGATTTTGGATATCACTGTCCTACAAATGCTCGTCAAGATTAATGAATTATAAGTAAAGCAGTGACAGACCACATGGAGTTCATATTGCATATCCGAGCAAATATGGTCCCCAGGAATGTCAACACAAGGCTATTGGAAATCCCTTATTTGGAGAAAAAACTATGGGAACGCGTGCCATTAGCCAGGCTTGTACTTCTGCCACAACACTCTCATGCATGTCAAGAGAGGTTCATCTAAGAGATTGAATCGTTTTAGGTAGTGTTCAGTGATGAAAGCAGGTCTTGCCTTCATACAAGCGATTGTTGTTTGTGCATGGTGTGAAGTGCTTAAGTTACCCGCTTACTAGTCTCTGCTATTGGCCGAGGGAATGTTTAACAGCGCAATGAAAGTAAAGAAAACCGTTTGACAGTCATTACTGTTACAGAGCAGTAATCAGCTTTTTCCAGCAGAATAATGCCCGCTTACAGGATGCCCATACTACTAAACAAGCCTTGAAAGATAATAAAACAACTTTTCTGCTCTGTCTAATCAACAGACGTCTATCCTACTGAATATATATTGGACCACACCTAACTCGTTCAGTTCACCTACATCTCTTGATATTACACCAAGAATACAAGAAACATAGAATAATGTATCGCAGGATAGTATTCATCTGCTCAATCGTATACATAGAACAATACTAACCTGTATTCATCCCCAAAGAGAATTTAGAGTTTATTTCTATAGGCTACAAAAATGGTTACCGTCAGCTTTACATATACAGTGTAACCCGGATATAAGAGACCCGGATATAAGAGAAACCCAGATATAAGAGAGATTTTCTATGGTCCCAAATTAGAGCCTGTGTTAATGTATATAAAATAGACCAAACCCGGATATAAGAGACTTCTTCGGTCCCGACAACTCTCTTATATCCGGGTTACACTGTATTCGTTTATATATGTCATCAATATTATCTGTACATTTAATCTCGAGTAAATTGTATCATATTCAGCGTATTTGACTATGCAAAATAGATTGCAAAGAGATGAATGTCAAGGTTGATAATGTGCACTACAGCTTGCGCAGAAGGTATAAAAATAAAATCGGGAAAACTTTAATTAGGTCGGTGTTTAACCCACCTACCCTTCGTCAGCTATCATTGCAAGATATCTGGTGATAGGTAATATTGTAGGGAGATGTGGTTTCATGCCTTTCCAAAAAAAGGAGTAATGTAAAGTGAATACAACCAGCCTCAGCTGAAATTTGAACAGTTTGTCAATTCCGTTTTTTTCCGGGATGATAACCGTTGCTTCATCTCCAAGTCTAATTTCTGTCAAGGTTGATAATGAGTGTAAGAGCTTTTGTGGCCGCGATAATAGGACATTTCCAAAATGCTCACTCACCTAGTTTGTTCTCTCTCAATCGTTTTAAGGATCTTGAAAAAAGGATGAATAAACTCTTGCTAGTTTATTCTGTATATTAAGGCGGACGTGGAATGCCGGAAAGAAAGAATGATCGAACAAATCATTTGATCAATTCAAACAGACACTTAAAAGTGGAACAGGAAATTCTTGGTTGCATTTACAATATTGTTTTCTAGCCAAAAATCAAATCAATACCTGATAACATGTCCTTTGTTGGTCATGTGCTAAGTTTTCTTTTAATCACGTCATGTTACAGGATATGTTACACGTTTTCACCTTCCTCGAGTTCTTTAGAACCACTCAAAACTTACCTTGGATATACGAGCTTTTGTAAATGCATGCCAAAACAGGGTTCAGAAGAGATAACAAAAAGAGAAAAAGTTACTAAGGACAGGTAATTGTGGTGAGCGGAATTGTTTCAATTTATAAATTATTTAGGTTGATTGATATGTGCTTTACGGCTTATCAACCTTTTGCAGGTTATTTAAATACAGAAAACTTATTTTGAGATTATACACATTTTTGAAGATCATGATTTCCGGATAAAATTCCTACTAATTAACCCATAGCTGGAGGAAGAAGAGGTGGAATCATACCTTTTCTAAGGATATTTTCACGTAAGTAGATATAACGAACCCGACTGGAATAGAAACTAGGCTCTTTGATTTCCAATTCCAAGTCGTTATCCATTACACCACCAGCACATCCCAACTTCTAGCAGGGGGTATTCCCAGGCAGTCACCCACCTAGGTACTGACCAGACCCGTCCGTGCTTAACTGCAGTGATCGTGCGAGAACCGGTGTTTCAACGTGATATGGCCATAAATCCTTGAACTTATTTTGATCTTAAAAGAGCGTTCTTTTCGAACACGATTAGAAAAATAGTTCAGTCAGTTATGTGCCATGCGTGATAGACGCTTAAGCGATCATGTATCTTTCAATACATGACTGACGAGGCAGATTTTTCCCGCAGTAGGTTGCCATTTCTTTTTGCGGTAGATCAGTTGCCATTCAAGACGATAGAACCCAATCTGTCCTGCTAGTTACCCTTAGCTGGGCGGGGAGAGAAGATGAGATCCCATACCCTTCCCAGGGTTATTAGCACATAAGTGAATGTAATGGATTCGACTGGAATTCGAACTCGGCTCTCCGATTCCGCAACTTTAAAATATTGCTGAAAAGCATTTTTTTTAACAGGGAGGTGGTGTTTTTGTGGGGGGTTTACGGATTTATCGATAGCTTATTACTATTAAGTAAAAACTATACATATTAATCATAAATTGAAAAGGTTACTACAATTATAGTAAGCTTTTCAATTTATGATTAGTTGCCATTCAAGGTTATAGAACCCGGTCTGTCCTACTATTTACCCATAGCTGGGGGGAGAGAAAGAGGATTCATACCTTTGTCAAGGGTATTAGCAAGTAAGTGAATGTAATGGATTTGACTGGAATTCAAACTCGGCTCTCAGATTCCTCATTCTGAGCCGCTATCCATTACTCCACAGTCAAGAATCAAAAAAACAGTTAAATGTTTCATCTTATAGAACGAAAATAATGAAATTGATATTGACTATTAATTGAATAATATTACTAATATCTAAAAATAAGAACTGTAAGAAATCCTACTAGCATGTATGGGAACGCATTGGCAAGCTAAAAAGGTTGGGGTGTTATTTATATTAAGGGTGGCTCTTTTAAGCGTCAGTTTCTCTTTTCTACCATTTTATAAGATCTAGCAATATAGTCAAAGCTGTAGGATTAAAAAAGAACATGGCCGCACTAGTGGATGTTTTCACAACATTTCCAAAGTGATATGGGCTATATATCTCGTCTGAAAGTAGACAATCCTGGGATTTCAGAACTAGTCTTTGCCGTAAATCCAAATATTTGTCAAATTATGATCGTTTGAATTCATTCAAAACTCACACGTTTAAACATTCAATTTTGAATGATGCGTTCTGGATAGTTGCTTTTTCTGTCTCGTTTTACTAGAAATTGGAATCTCGTTACAATAAATGATATAAATAAGAGACAAGTTTAACTTGACACACTTTAAAAAATAAACTACCAAGTGAATTTTGGGTGCCTACAACACAAATTTCAGTCAAATTAATAATTTATCGCCATATTTTGCCTACGTTTTTGTCTCTGATCCCCCCCCCACCAAATTTCCAATACAGCTAACAAAAAATACCAGAGACAAAATGTTTCACTTATGTGCCATAGACGCATAGGCGATCATGTATCTTTCAATACATGACTGACGAAGTAGATATTCCCCGCAGTAGGTTGCCATTTCTTTCTGCGGTAGACTAGTTGTTATCCAATCAATCTATAGAACCCGGTCTGTCCTGCTGTTTACCCATAACACTGGAGAAGAAAAGGATTCATACTTTTCCCAGGGATATTAACACGTAAGTTAATGTAATGGATTCGACTGGAATTCGAACTCGGCTCCCCGATTCCTCATTCCGAGCCGCCATCCATTACTCCACCGTGTAATTAGCTTAAATTCCAAAAAATTAAAACAATTTATAGAGTGGTCCTAAAGTCTTGTCAGCCTTACATAATATAATTTTCTATTTCAGATGGCTGATGAATTCTTAGTTTTGAAGAGAGGTGTGGGCTGACAAGACTTTTCGACCACCTTGTACATCTGCAAGATATTTAAACCATACTCACTTCCTTTCATACGTCAAATTGATTATTTCCCATTTTTGGCACCATATGCCGGGCACAAAATGTCAGTTTTCAATTAAAAAAAAAAACTCATATCGTATTTATAAAAAAACTACCATCTAGACTTTTATTCCTATGTTTTTGGTCTATACGGAACCAATGTTTGGCATCAACCCACTCCTTCGAAGTATAAATGCAAAATTTAAGCTCATTTCGAGAATTTAAACTTTTCATGGCCTACCCGGATTCCTTGACCTTAACCTCTAATTAGGAATATGGAAGTTTCTATTTGATATTCCTCTTAGTCTCAAAGTACAAATACCAATAATAAAATCCCATAAATGGGTTGAAAATTCCTTCAGGGGCCTCAAAAACAAAACGTGCCCTCTTGGCTCTATTTATGCAAGCACACCGTGCAGGTAAATTGAAGCTAAGTATAAAAAATATATATTCACTTACCATACTAGTGGCTGTAGCACTACCATCAACCACTACCGGTTTGTTCGTGACCATCACGGTCAAGTGGTTGTTATCCACGAGCGGCCAAGCGCCCCGGATTTTACAAGTCTGGCAAACCCGATTAAAAGTCCGTAAATGCGGGTCTCCGAATAATCCACAATGTTTGTAAGTGCCTTTTCCTTTGTACATGCACTCCGGCTGGGGTCGTTGCACAGGTGGCTTGTGGGTTTGGTCCAAAGAATCGTAAGTTTCTCCTTGTGTAGAACACTTTCGGATGGACATTTGCTTCTGGACGCGAGATTTTTCGCTGTGATAATCAATATTACCGACACAGCCGTGACTCACCTTGCGAATACAATGCCACGTTGTCCGTAGGGCCCGACAGTTGTAGGTGTCGGACAATGGGTCCATATTCATTGTATTCATGTGATAGGTTGGCCATTGCTTTTGGCACGTACTTACTTTACACTGTCCAGCTACAAAATAAAATAAAATTAATAATTAAATCAGAAAAATACACAAGACAAAATAGTACATACATTATACTTACTAAATATTTGCAGTTTAGAAACCGCGCTCAAAATTTCCAGAATACTTATATTTATGTGTAATTGTACATGCTTCATTCGAATTTGGCTTTATAAATTTGATAACATCTAACGTTTTGGAGTTATCGACAGTAAAAGTTCGAATTCATTCGCGTTGTTGGCAGTAGCCGTTACTTGCGTGGTTTTCATACATTCGCTGCGGAAGAGAACGTAGTTAACGGTCTTGTCTCAATTACTGCGCAAGAGAACTATATTGTGTGCGCAATAATCAAGACAAATGAATATTCTAGTCATAGCTATTCCGCAGCGAATGTATGCAAACAACACCAGTTACTTAACATCAAGAAGAGACAGCTGAAATTTTTGGGACACGTAATGAGAAAAGAGGGCTTGGAGAATCTAATACACACAGGGCAGATAGAGGGAAAGCGAGACAAAGGAAAGCAACGCGTGACATGCCTAGCGGCTTTAAGCAAGTGGATGACGGAACAGGATTTGGGACTAGAAGCAAAAGGACAAAACATATTGAGAGCTACAAGGGAGAGGAAAAAGTGGAGAGCTATGATCGCTTACGTTCTGAAAGGACACGGCACACAAAATAAGATACAAGGTAACAAAAAAAAAAAAAAAAACTCCTTGCCGTTTTATATTTATTAGAACAAAAAATGCTATACAGCAAATTTAGAATCATTTTCCAACGTACCTCCAGCTGCGAAATGCTCTTGCGGTAAAATTCCGGTGTCATGGAGGTAAATTAGTCTGTGAATTGATGACCGAGTACAGTTCCGAGTGATGGTTCGGATTGCTGATAGCAGCTCATAGTGTACGAGTTGAGTAATCTGCCAGATACAGTGCATGATCTTGCGTGATTAGAGAGATGGTCTTGTGGTGTGAGGTACAGGGTCCCGTGGTGACAACCAATGTCTTTCACGCTTGAAGACCCACTTTTCGTCACTGTTGAGCATTCGATCAAAAAATGGGTACGTTGCGGTGCCAATAAAGCAACGAGAAACAGTCTGTCACTCGTTATGACTTGTTGGCTTCCGACAGTGTGTGGTGTAGCCATTTGCTTAACTTGCACGCCTTCACTGTGCGGGGCAAGTGAAGTCTGACTGTTTAATCAGAAAGCTGTAAGTATTTGGTAAGCTCACCAAAGGTTTGGCTGTTGTCCTTCTATATGGCAAAATCCAGGGCCTCATCATCCAGGACCTGTGGCTGGTCAGTGCGGAGTTCATCACAAAGGGTCAAATCTCCTGACATGAATTTCTGGAACCAATGCCTGGCGGTGCGTTCACTCACGGCATTATGCCCAAAGACTTGACGTATTCGGCGACTTGATGTGGCTGAGTACAAGCCCAGCTTAATGTCAGATAATCAGACAACTCCGGACGAGCTACTTCGACATCGCCAAGTTTACTAACTGTTGCTTGAACTCTGACTGTTGTATTTGCGCAATGCACCTGCATTGGTCAAGAGCAACGTTCCCACTCGTACATCCGCCGTTTTCCCGGCACGTAACGTACTCGTTTGCATATCAGTGATCGATTCTTCCCACACGACATAAGTGGCAAGCATTTTTTCTTTACTATATATATAATTATTTATTTAAAAATTAAATAATTATATTTATGCTCTACTTTTGTATCGAGCACTATTTTTTAAAAATAATAACAAAAATACTAAAGATCTTTGGATTATTTACCTAAACAGTTCCTTCCTAATTACTATATATTTTCACACACACATTATATATATATATATATATATATATATATATATATGTGTGTGTGTGTGTGTGTGTGTTTTATTTAGTGGAAAGTGATCAATATCACAGATAAAGCTAATATATATTTGAAGATCGCGAAAGCGTGAAACCCGGGATTACAAACTACTATCCAAGCAAGTGTGTAAATTACTCTAATGTCGTTTGTAACACATTATTTATCATCTCTCAGTTGCGTCTCTGTCTTTGAGTAGAGAGCAATCAGGGGCGACACCGACAAAGGACAGAGTCGCAACTGAGGAAAATTATACTGAGAGGTGCCCAGCCCAGGGGAACAGCTGACCGAGGCCGCGCTCTCACATTGCACCAGAGTGAGGGATCGGTGCTCGCACCGAGGCCACCGCAACCGACGG